TATTATTTTTCGATTCATCCCCCCCCCCCCTCACCGGTATATATGTATGGCGCCACAGCTCGGCCGTAATTAGCGAAACTGTCCCATGTACTCGAAACTCTCGAATATTCGTTCTGTCGAACTGGACCGACGTTATCGTCCGATTTAAGCAGATGGCTCGATATTTTTTAACATCCATTTAGACTCTATTCTGTGGATATTATATGTTTGCCGAATATTTTCACCTGGAATAAAGAACCTTGTTTTATTTTACACCAAGTAATCTCTTACCATGCAAGAGCTAGAGTTATGAATTGTAGGTGTCTAATTTATAGATAATGCTATGATTTCTTAAGAATTATCGAAGGACAACCTTCAAAATTCCAAGAATAATGATGATTCGAAGAGGAAAATCGTTTTGAATACTAGCTTCACCCTTCCATACGGAGCAACTTTTGTATAAGAAGCTCCCATCTGCCCTTAAGGGGGCCCAACGAGTAATGCTGTCTTAATTATTCGGCGCATTTATTTCGAAATTGTCGTCAATTACGGAGGCAAAAGCATGGGCAATGGGGCGGGATTCACGTCGGTACAGACTGTTTGTATCGGGGGTTTTGCTGAATAATTTATAAAACCGCTAATTGATATTCGATTGACGGGAGCGTAGACCTAGGAGCGTAACATGTATATTGTTTTGATAAAGATAGAGCACATGTAGCGCGACAGAGGGGCACGGCGGGGATGGAAAATGGAGGAAAAAGCGGACGGACGTGGAACCGGAACGATCGTGGAGGCTCGCGGGAAAGAAAGAGTAAGGTCGAGAAAAGGTGAAATAGAGAGAGAGAGAGAAAGAGAAAGGGGGAGATAGACGGAGGAAAAAAAAGGTAGGGCACACGGAACGAGGAACGAAACTGCGACTGGGTAGAAAAGCTGGTGGAACGACTCGAGAAGAAAACGCACGGCTGCGTTCGGCGGTGGGCACGGGCACGTCAAGAAAGAGAGCCTCGATTCGTGAATACACGTTCCCCGAGACGCGCAAAGCTCTCGTGGCTGGAAGCAGAGCGAAAGAGAGGGAACACACGGTCGGTGAGACGGATCGGAGTGAGACAGAGGTGATCTCGGTGAAAGAAAAAGGTGGAGGAGAGAAATGAGAGAGACAGACCCCGCGGACGAGACAGAGAGGGAGAGCAAACGAAAGGAAAAGGGAGCAGAGGAAAATAAAAAATCCCCGGGGAAGGGGGGGACGGGGAAGGGCCGGCGATAGAGTAAGAGATAAATAAAACTGACCCAAGACGTGTAAACATCTCCTGGTGGTTTTTCGGAGCGAGTAATTTCTCGGTGTGTTACGCACGAGGGAATCGACGTCTGTTAACACACTTCTTCTCGAGGTTCCGCTCGACGTTTTAAACAACAGACACCGCGAGTTTTCGGCCGACGATGATTGGACCGATGCACGCGCGGTCCTACACGGACAGGAAGGACCGACCGAGTCCCCGGTAAGGAAAAGGTACAGAACACGGGGAGGGGGGATAAAGAGGAAGAAAATAAAGGAGGGAAGAAGGAAAAAGCGGCACTGTGGAGAAAGAGACGGTGCCGTAGGTACACAACAGAGACAGAGTGAGAGAGAGGATCTGGAGGATGTCGGAGAGAAAGAAACGAGAACCGGGCGAAAGAAAGAGACAGAGGGATTTTTTAAAGAAAGGAATCGGTGCCCCCCCTCGCAAAAGAGAAAAGACAACGGTGAGACTTACTCGGTGTATCCGACGATGCTTATATTTGCTAATGTCTCGATGACGATGCGTCTCTCCGGCGAGACCGACGTTCCATGCTCGAAAATGTCAACTCTTGATCGAGAAATGGTACGAGCCGAAACGCAGACACATCGTAGCTCTCTCTCTCGTCCTTACTTTCTCGCTCTCTCCTGGCGACGACGACGACGACGATGATGATTCGGCGTGAACTCTCGACACTTCGACACGACGCACACACGCACCACACTCTCGAGTAACAATACACACCGCACCGATCCCGCGGGGTAACGAAGCCGGCCTGACACACGGAAGGCATGCAATGCGTTTCCCGGTCGCATCGAATAAAACAGAGAAACCCACGATGGTAATTCACGGGAATTCGGGCACGGTTCAACTAGGCATTTCGCGGCTCGTCGTCCCTCAGGCACATCTTGGTCGCCATCGAGATCTAACACGAGTGCGCGCGCGGTACGCGCGCTCTCGCGGCCTCCGATCAAACTTGCTCCTTCAAAGGCCGGCCAATCAACGGGCCGCATGGCCTGTGCCCTTGCCGCGAGCAGTCCTGTATCTAGTTGACGCGCCGTCATTCATTCATCTCGTGGAATTTTCTTTTTCCTCGGAACGGTTTCGAGGCGAGTTGATTTCTTTCCACCGATAACCGTCGAACCGGCACATTTTCGATTCACGTGCCGCGATGCTTGGAAGTATCGTTGGTCGATCTAATTTTTCTTTCCCACGACGACATTACTAATTAATGTTTCTACCGAGAAGTGCGCGCACACACAGACACACAAACACACCGATGCGCGTCTGTATGCAAGCGATGTACCGCCGTCAGTCGCGTATCTAATTGATTTAGCACCTTTGTAGTTGAAAAATTTTTGAAAAATGCCGACAAACCTTTTTTTTATTGAAGGCATTTTGTTTGGATAAAAATTCACAGTTATATAGATGTATGTTGAGTAAATATTTAAAAGTAATTATCATTTGTGAGGAATAAACTTTTGAAATAAATTTTAATAATGTTTAATTTATATATTATTGCTATATTTAAAATAATCTTTAAAACACGTTACTTATACTTCGTTAGCTTGGTTTGCTTCGTAGAGACGATGGTACTTAGGAAATCTAACTGAAATATTTTAAGAAATCACCTTACTATATTTGGCCAATACCACAAGTAACTTAATGCATGGTGAAATATGTTATAATTTTTTCTAATAAACTCTAATCTTGGTAAGAAATGATTAACGATAATGTAACTACAAAATGTAATCAAATCCTATATAATACATTCGAAGATAATTACGGTTTTAGTAACTCTAAACCTTTTCTGTTATAACACTAAAATTAAAGTACAATGATTAATAAAGTTTTCTGATATTTCATGTAATGTTATAGATTATAGAATATATGTATAGCCCTAAACTTGAAATCTTTTTATTTCAAATTACGTGCAACTACGTTTTACGATCTGTGAATGTATTTGTTTCATTCTTCCCGTCTCAGACTGGCGCATTTGCGAGAAAAGTGTCTCAGCTCAGCTTGGTCCCTCGATATCATCAGATCTAAACTGCTTTCTGCTAAACTTCCCGTTTACGCCGCATTAACGAGTGGCGCTACTGTCGTGCTCTCAGCCACTCGAGAACGTACACAGCAATGTTGGCGGACAGGACGAGAGGAAACGTTCATAGCGAGCGATGCGATTAACGAACGTTCCCAGATATTTCAATTCAACCGACACGGACAGGACCTGACGAGGATGTGGATCCACGTAACTGCTCGTTACTCGGTTCGGTAGCTATGAACAATTACATCAATAACGCCTCGCGTTTATACACCATTTCTCCCTTCTACTGGTTCCGCATTATCGATTGTTACGAACGCGCCGCCTGATAATGCGTTAAATGTGCACTTCCTTTAACCGAAATCGCATATCCTTCGTGTTTGCTTGCCTTAAGAATCGAACGTTACGTAACTGGAGATCATGCAACCCGTGCAAAATTAACGTGCGCTTACACGCTGTTGCGGCATGAAGGTAAGTTTACACACAACAATCATACAAGCGGTATATTCTGTAATAATTTATACTGTATTGTTTACTGTATGCAAATAAATGATAGTTTTCAGTATTCGTTGTTTTTTTTTTGAAATTCTTTTTTGCATAATGTAAGTACATCCTTTGTTTGAATTGGTTTATTCTTTTGCGATTTGTAACCATGTGTTTGGTTCTTGTGATGCCTATTGTTATGGGTTAATGCAGGTAAGTAGATGTATTATGTTTTTTATTACTGATGATTTGCAGTTAATTCTATAAAAGTCTTTAATTAATTATTCTATGTATATTTTATTTCTTGTTTATTTGGAGATATTGTTAAAGTTGGAATCAGTAGTAGAAGCATTATTGTTATGACATAATTAGTATAAAGATATTTTTATAATATCGTTTTTATATCGTGTGCTGTGATAAATATACAAGTAAATTAATTTTTCTGTACATCAAGAATTATCAATTTGACACTGAATATATTAAAAGTTCCAACGTGTTGAATACTGTATTATTTTGTCACCTAAAATTAAATACTGCAATGGTCTTGGCAGCGTTCTACTATTATTGTCGTTATAATAAGGTGTAAACTTTATGGTATATTCATTACCTTTTTACTCAAAAGGTTGGCCATTTTACTACTGCATAATCTACTGTTATGTTAAAAAATCAAATGTATAGTGGTCATTCAGAGTAGTCTATCAGAGATGAAATATTTTTTCGTCTTTGTCACTGAAATATGTATTATAAAAATAAACATTTATTTATATGTAAAAACTTACGAGTTCCGCAGGCTCAGCCCCTTAATGATGGCAAACACATGACTCAACTGTAGCACGGGTAGACTACAAAGTATTATTTCAGTGTCCCTACAATCTTTGAACTATTTGTATTGTAGAATTAAATAAAAGTACATATGTATTATACTTTATTTTATATATTTGTGTAAGGTATTGTCAAAAGCTATAAATCCTATCTTTATTCGTCCATTTTTCTATAAAACTATTGATTTTGCAAAATATCTCTTTCGATTCTTCTATTAACGTCGAAATTCTAAGACCAGAACGAACACTCTGTTAATGATCCACTTACACATATGTATGAAAAATATTATTGCAATTGTTTGTAGATATGATAAATACAAAGATACGCATCCGAACATATCAATATGAAAGCAGAAGACTGAAAGCTCGATAGAATGGAATCCAGGATGCCCGTGAAATACGACGATTCTTAAGTTCAGGATGGAACTCAGAAAAGGGCCCTGGTCGAAAAAGATCATAGTTCCAGCCTGCTTTTTGGTAATTCTAATCTGGATCTTTCTAATCGACAATTCGTTACTTCTCGCCGGCCTGGCTGGCAAACCGACCTCACAGAAACCCAGAAACTCAATTTCTTCTACACAAACACACAATCAAAATCTGGACCATCCATACGCCAAGGATACCTCTTTGATAAACGATGTCGAACCGAAACACAAAAAGCTATCGAAACTTCAAATGGTGTCACTTTGGACAGGCAACAGCAGCGTTAAAGAAGGGAACTTGGCCGGCCCGCGAACGTATCAGATCTTAAAACAACAAGGTTTAATGCCCAGCAAACAGTTGCCGACCGCTTTGATAATCGGCGTCAAGAAAGGCGGGACTAGAGCTTTGCTAGAGTTCCTGAGATTGCATCCCGCGATTCGTGCCGCTGGATCGGAGGTGCACTTTTTCGATCACCATTACATCAAGGGATTTCATTGGTACAGGTGCGTGTCCCATAAATATTGGGGTGGTGCTTATCAATAAAAAAAAATATTTTTATTTTTTCACGGGGCGAACACACCCAATATGTACACTAATGAGTAATATGGTACTGTTGTATCTTTTTCATTAAATTATTAGGGGTTGCTACCAACCATTGAATTTTGTGCTTTTTAGGAAAAAGAATCCAATTTCCTTTTGGACATGGGGTGGATGTACCAGTAAATGAACACGTACCAGTGAATGAATATTTTATATAAAAACGAGTAAATTAAGTTATTGAAATAAGCAAGTAATTAAATATTGATTTCAGACAGAAGTGTGCATTTACTTAATAGTAGTTAATATTGTTTATTCATTGGTGAAATCTGTATTTTTCTTTTTAATTTAATTAATTACATTTTTCCAATTTTTGAAGTTGAAAACTGTGCGTTATGAAAATGTATCGATATTAAAAAATGTAATTTGCATATGGCAATATTTACTAATACTATTATCATTTAAAATTCGACTTTAATAGTTGGTAAACTTTTTAACTGTTCGTTCATTGGTGCGTTCACTTTATTATGATTTTAACACATTTATTTAATACTGGTATATTATTACAAAACAACTTTGTGAACCAACAAGTTTAAAGAATAGTCAATTCACATTTATAAACATCTATGTCGCAAATAACATCATTAGGCTAATAAAGTCTCAATGTGAAGATATTTCTGTCGGAATGTGCTTAACTTACAGCAACAAATACTATTACAAATACTCCATAAATGAGATTCTAAGATTTATAGAGAGCCTGGTGTACGGATTCGTTATTCAAAATATTAATAAACGGGTAGCAACCTCTAAAATATTATGAAATGTAATAGAATTTTCACCAGGCCCATTTCTCAGCACAGAGAACAAAATGGCAAGGTACCCAAAGCAATATTTTAAAAATTGAATTTTAAGCACCACCCTAATGAATATATTATCGCAATATTTATATTTCTGTCCATCTGGTTGGGTTTTTTAATTTCAACTTTTTAAATATATACAACTGGACCATGAATTCTTTCCGGGGCATTTTACAGACACCGAATGCCCCCGACTCTTGCCACTCAGATCACGATGGAGAAGACGCCATCTTATTTCGTGACCAGCGAGGTACCGCGAAGAGTTCAACGCATGAATCCGGCAATGAAATTAATTCTAGTAGTTAGGGATCCTGTCACACGAGCCATATCCGATTATACCCAAGTGCGAAGCAAACGAGCCAACATGCCGAGGTTCGAGGATCTCGCGTTTCTGAACGGATCGAAGATCGTGGACACGTCGTGGGTACCATTGAAAATCGGTGTATACGCGCGACATCTAGAAAGATGGCTCCACTACTTTCCGCTCTCGCAATTTTTATTCGTATCGGGGGAAAGATTGATCGTCGATCCAGTGGCGGAGATCACGAGGGTGCAGGATTTCTTGGGCCTAAAGCGAGTCATTTGCGAGAGACACTTTTATTTTAATGCCACGAAGGGATTTCCCTGTCTGCTCAAATCTGAGGAACGTCCAACTCCCCATTGCCTTGGTAAGTCTATTTCTATTATTAAGAAAATTCGTCTATTTATTTTTACTTGTACTTTTATTTCACTTTGTATTATATGTATGTATGGACTTCTACTTTTATTTTACTATGAATGTCAGATTCGTGATGTCTGTAAACTGAAATTACTTACTTTCGTACATACGTAATAGGGTAAACACAGCAATCAATGAACATTTAAGAGATTTTGTAATTGTTGAAGTCCAATTATCAATGATAATATTATTAATAAATATTTGACACATGAAAATTAGATTTTTTAATATCTATACATTTTTATAACGTATAGATCTGAATTTGACAAATTGATAAAATGTGATTAACTAAAGTGAAAAGAAAATATACAGATTTCATGATATTGAGTAAATGAACATTACTAACCAATGGCGTGAAAATTGTTCGAATACGAAACAAGGAATTGAAAGGAATCAATATTTTAATCATTTGCTTATTTTAATAACTTAATTTATTCGTTTTTATATACAGGGTGATCCATGAAAATCGGCCTACTCGAATATCTCCGAAATTATTAACGACATTAAAAAATATTTCATACAAAAGCCAAATGGTATCGGGGGACACACTGTCTGATGTGAGTAACTTTTTCCATGTGGACGCGCAGAGGTCATATGACGGTCAATTTTCTTTTGTTAAATGGAATAGTATATTTTTTAATGCACTATTCGATGCTACTCGTAATTCTCCGCATAAAGTACTAAATCACTTATAGCAATAAAAAATATACGATTCCATTTTAAAAAACAAGGTTGACCTTTACATAACCTGTAACGCGTCCACATAAAAAAAAGTTACTTACATTAAAAAGTGTGTCTCCTGATACCATTTAACTATTATCTGAAACATTTTTTACTATCGTCGAGTATTATCTCGTACCCCACGTTGAGTGGGTCAATTTAAATGGGCCACCTTGTATACTGTTCATTTACTGGTGCATCTATCGTATCTCCATGTTAATTCTAATGTTTTAATAGTATCGTGTGTGATTTTTAAGGTAAGAACAAGGGTCGTAGCCACCCTTACATAGACCCCGTAGCAATACAACGATTGAGAGATTTTTATCGTCCATTCAACCAACGGTTCTATCAATTGACGGGGATGGATTTCGGTTGGTTGTGAGATTAACGCGAGATAAGTAAATAACATATCGAATATAGTTAAGCGACACATAGTCAATTTTTATCGAGACACGACACGAGCATGCGGATGACATTAGTTTGCACGAAGAAGTAAATTATCAACGAACAAAGGAAACAAGGAAGCTGCTGATACTTTATCGCTAATTTCCATCTGTTCTTACGTGACTCGGAATACATACGTTTATTACGCGCACATAAGATAATCGACATTGTTTTAATGTGTTTGACAATATGCAAACGGAATCCTATTCTTCTCCGTGATATTACTGCTAGACACGTGAATGTTACTAATTGTATCCATCATTTTTGGTACATACATATCACGCTATATTTTATACATAATATTATAGAACAGATCCGAAGGATTGCTTTTGCGGATATCATTTATTTTTTTGCAGAAACAGCAGTTAGGTTTAAATTATATCTTCCAGTTAGACGAGTTTATAGATTTTAATGTACATTTCAATATATATTATTAATATGTATAATAAGTTAGTATGTTCAATATGTTACTTTTTTATTGGTTTTGCATTCCAAGTTCACCCGTTTGCAAATCAAATTTACCTTTTTGCAGATGAAATTCACCCTTTTGCACATCAAATTCAACCTTTTGCAATTTCCGAAATAAAAAGTAATGAAAGAACGTTTAAACAAATGCACTTGAAAGTAAAATTTCGAAACACAGATTATCAAAATTATAGGAATAAAAATAAATCACCCACTCAAATGATCACAAGGACAACTAGATTGTTAATTGCTAGGGCGCATAATTTTGATAAATATATAATATTTCATATAAATATATAATTATTTAATTTGTGAAAGGATGAATTTGATTTGCAAACGGGAGAATTTGATTTGCAAAAAGTTGAATTTGGAGTGCAAAGGTTATGTCAATTGAAGCGGATATGATTCTTTGAATGTTTCTTCTTGAACGATACTTAATTGTTATCAGTTGTTAAAGCGATATTCAAATGTTATTTTAAGCACTTCGTTGAATTTGAAAATTTCCAATGTTAATAATGCTTTTATTATTAGCAATATTAATGCCAATGATATTAAATCGAAGTATTTGTCAATTGAAGAATTACGGTACGGTAAGAAATGAAATGTTAAATTACATTACATTTCAAATTCTCTAGACATATCTTTCTAAATTAACGAAAACTTAATATCGTCTAGGTTTCAAGATACTGAGATGATTATTGAATTGATTTCAGTTCAGGAATAAAAATACCTTTTAGTCTATGCACAACGAGTCATTTTAACAAGCATACTCTGGTTGAGAAGTAGAGTTATCAATAACGTCAATTAGACATTTGTAATGGTAAAAGTTATTGACAAAAGTTTCTATAACCGACAAAAAAAAAATAGATAAATTATTAATTCCGATACGTGCGGGTAGGCACAAGCTTGCACAAACTGAAAACTAAATATATAGTACATTTATATTTTGCAAAACGGTGCACGCACATTCACACAATCTAACGCGAGAGTTTGTACAAATTCGACCGTAGAATTAAGTAAATTTCAATTGAGTATCACTTACCGATAGTTGTTAGCTGTTAGAATTTATTCCGCGAAAAAAAGCTCGTATTTCTTCAAACAGCGAGGATACGTTAGAAATTTAAGTAATCCTGTGACTCAATGAATTCTCGAGTAATTAAGTATATCTATGTTAAGTTACTTTGCTCAAGTGGCCTAATTGATCTATTCGAAAAAGGAAAAATCTGTAAATAAACACTAATTTACGAAACACAAGAAACATGGTTCGTAATATACACTCACGTTATATCGAATATTTTAATTAAAATTCGTTTACGTCTATTTCAGCAGATTGCACTCTTTTGTTCCTTGATCCTCGTCCATTCCGAATTTTGTTGTTGGTCGAAAAGGCGAGAAATTCCACGATGTTGCAATGGCAACAATCTTTATCGACTATGTAATTGTTTCACATTTTAGATACTGAATCGCGAGGAAAATGGTTCTGTATCCACACTTTCTGATATGTTCCTATCATGTATTCTGTGTGCAGGAAAAATCTACACTCTCCGTAGCGGATTCTGTATCAAATACATACAAAAAAATTAAAAACAGATTTATATCTCTAAGGAACGTTTCAAGGCCACAATTCCTTTAACTGCATTCGACAGACTTTTAACCTCTTGCCTTACGGTTTTCTTGACATCTACAGTATTCAGTATTACTTTGGTGTCGATAGTTGCCCAGAAATGAAAGGAATTCTGTACTCATCGCAACTGGACATTTACTCTAAAATGTTAAATGTTAATACCATAAACGTGGTTTTTCGAATAATGTTCATATTTGCTGTGTCGATTTCGAAATCGTCAAAACGAATCTAACTCGATGTTATAATTATAAGACATAAGACAAGAGGTTAAAGATGGCGCCCAAAGCGTCCTCTTTGGAGTAATGCTCCCCCACCAGTAAAATAATAACTGACAAATATTCTATCGCAACTTCTATAATAAACAATTGCTGTCGACTGTTCGAAAACAGGAAATTTGGCCGTTCAATATCTTTAATAATTTATAAAGATTATATTATATTTAGCACTTTCCTCGAATATCCATTCTGGCGCAGACATTTCGTCAAGGGAATAAAAAAATTACGCGGTCTCTGGTTCATTTTCTACGTCTATTGAACTATCAAAAAAAAAAAAAAACATGTTAACAATACAAATCGAGCCATTTGATGGAAGACAAACGTACTAATGAAAATTTTGTTCGGGCGACGCTGATTGCTGTCGGAATCGTGCGAATACTTTCGTTTTCATTTTTTTCGGGAACTTGAAAAAGATTGCATTTCGAGCTCCATCGAAACGGCAACGTATACTTTATATATTACGTATATATGTATATATACACACATATACATGTACATACATATATAATATGTATATATATACATATAAATATATAAAAAACCTATATATATATATATATATTTAAAATATATATATAGGTGCGACAGATACGTTTAATTCGGTTAATCTTACGGTTAAAGATCCTTGAGCAATCTTGTCGATTGGTGGACGGAATACATATTGCTGGGTAGAGACGCCGTTACGATATACAATATGTCGGTATGTTCATCATACGTGATCGTCGGTGATACGTAAAAACTAAACGCGTAATACAATTCGATCGTGGGCTAACGAATACTGATTCGATACTTCGGTATACAGACAAGAATTCATATACCGATACATACAATGGACTCTAACTATATTGCCACTAAATATATTGCCACCCGTGGCACTTCCCCCTCACATATACTTTTGACCACACAAATTCGTTCTCCCACTACGTTGCGTACGCCGGCGCACCAGCACGAACCAGCTTTTGCGCAGGCGCTGAAACCGAGGCTATGACGATAGAACTTAGCATGGAGGGGGCTTTGAACTCATTGCCATTTTACTCCCCTACAGTCCCGACCATGGCAATATAGCTAGAGTCCACTGTAACACATTTTCCTGTGGGGTCGGGGGGCGGCTTTCACTTACGTTTCTAACAACAACGATGACGTTATTCTGGTGAGACTCGGTTCAATGAATCTTTTCCTTTTCGTTTTTCTTTTTTGTTCCCGTGACAAACGAAGGCCCATACCTCTCTCAACACTTTCATCGAATCCACGAAACAAAAGGGGTGATCGATACAATGAATTTTTTGTTTCCAACGTGAACTAATATATCGTTAAATTATCGACTACAATGTTGCTTAATATCTAAATAAACCGCTAATACACGTTTGTGTGCGATCCTTCCGATACTCTTCCTAACGCGATTAAGACTCTTTCCACGACGATTTCACTTGTGCGCGCGCGCGTTAAAAGTGTACCATACATATCTAGACAGCGGATGGACACGCTATTCGATGTTACCATCCGCGATGTGTTTCGCGCAAATGATTTCTAATCGAATAAAAAAAAAAGAGAAAGAAATGAATCCTCGCCAAAGATAAGAAATTTCTCCGTTTCAACACTTGTTCCCGTATAGGTTAGTCGAATGAGAAATCGTGAATCGTAGAATAGAAACGTGATACACCAACATCCGCGATCCAGCGTAATATCAAACTGAACGTTCTCCCGAGAGACATTCTGAGGTGGTGCACGCGCGAAATATATACAAACACACACACACACACGAGAGAACAGTTTCACTCGGAAGCGTTCACTCCTTCGACCGAGTTGCGATCTTCTTTTCGTTCCTTTTCGTTCGTCGATTAAGCATGCAGACGCACAGCCCTGCTTCGAATACAATAAACAACACAACAGACCCAGCCTGCTTCGCTCCAATGGACAAAAAGAATCTAAAAAAAAAAAAAAACTCGCCGCGAGTCCTGTACAGAGATCTGAATCGGAGGAATTACAATTAGGTAACTAAGTGGGCGTCGGTACAATTTGCCGTGTTCTTTCCGCGACAGTTCGTCCGGAACTGAAGGGTGGTCGGGAGACAAGAGTTCGGTGTTTGCCAATTGGGCAGGCTCTAACGGTGGTTTCGCCTCGTTTCCGGCCGTGCAGACCCCGGAGATCGTCGAAAGGAAGTCAGCGAGAATCGGTCACAGATCAGGGGTGGAGAGGGGGAGGGGGTGCCTGGTGTCGACGACCAAGAATTATACATGCTCGAAAAAAAAGAACATCAATCCGTTTTCACCGTCTATACACAACTGCTCTATCCATGTACACATATACAGGGTGTCTCAGGTAACTCGATAAGTTCGAATAAAGACTTAACGGTATACTTTATGAAAATATTGAGGCGTGGATCTTAAATGGCATCAAGGGGCACATGTTATAAGGTACGTACTTTTTTGTGGATGGAGGCATTTCAGAGATTTCAAGGTCACCTTGATTTTTTTTAATGGAATGACCTCATTTTTGTGCCATGGATCGATAGAGTATCAAATTCTGAGTACAAATGTGTTAACCTTCATACGTCCTAAATTTGATAACTAACGAGATATTTGCAAAATAATTACTGTATTGAAACCGCTGTATTGAAGTTAAGGGGTACCGTTCAAGCACCTATAGCTTTCAGATAGTAAGTACGTATTAAAGATTATTTTGTAAATATCGATCAATGGCACAAAAAAGCACGCACCTTGTAAGATGTGCCCCTTGATTTCATTTAAGTTCCATGCCCCCAAATTTTCATAAGTGTACTGTTAAGACGTTATTTAAAGTGATGGAATTACCTGAGACACCCTGTATATATATATTATATGTATATGTATATACAAGATAAGCGGTTCCGCGATCGAACCGTTCCGCCAGGAACATCCGATCCCTATCACAAATCGAGACACAATTCCGATAAGACCTAATGGCAAGTTGTTACGAAGTGCTTCCACATAGTGGCGAAATGGAGGGAGATGGGGGATCTTACATCTTACAGATATACAAATATAACGGGTAATATACTCGAATAATTCGAGTTTCTTTGCTTCTTTCTTCTCTTCTTTTTGCTTCCCGTGGATGTCCATCGATGTAATATGCACACACACACATACGTTGCAGGCGATTTTGCTCGATCTTCTTTGTTTTTTTTTTTTGTACTAACCAGAGTCGAATTCACAACACTCGGAACTCTCGATGCTTTGTTGGTTGAATCGCATCGAAAGTCACGATTTCAAGGGACCATGTCGCGCATATGGACGAGATACATCATCGAAAAGCGGTTCTAGCACCGTGAGGGCACGCAATTCGTAAACAGGGTTGGTCGAATCGTTGTGAGCTCGGAGTGGAGTCTGACTCCTCGTTTCTGTTTATACCCTCCAATGCTCTTCGTTAAGGTTCTCTGAATCGGTTTCTTTCTTTCGTTCTACGATATGTCTGTATATATGTGTGTGTGTGTGTGTGTGTGTGTCTGTGTGTGTGACTCATACAATTGTCCATACAAAGGGTAGAACTTCGAGAGTCCAATAAATTAAAAAGAAGAGAAAAAGAAAGAAAGAAAGAAATTGGAAACTATCGAGCGTGTATGGAATTAAGATTCAAAGAAGAGAATTACGTTAACACGGTGTTTTGAAAAGATTTCGACACGACACGAAATAGCCGTTCGAACATCCAATTCAAGATGGACGATTAGCGAATTGTACGGGACCCCTGCGGGTAAAATACCACTACCAGTGACACGGTGGTAACCATGTAGGGGGGAAGGTCACGTGTTCCGCGTACCTTCGTGTCACCGATCAAATTTCCCACTCTCTCGATTCATCCGAAAGGACCACGTGTTTTGTCCCTTACGCTTCCCTACGGTTGATAATTAACGCGTTTACAATTTTCCTTGTCGGATTATCGATGTCGCCGGCGGAAAATCATTGGACCCGTGTTTCAAGGAGACCGATAAGGAAGAATGTGATAGAGGGGGGAAGGAAGAGAGAGAGAGAGAGAGAGAGAGAGATAGAGAGAGAGAGAGAGAGAGAGAGAGAGAGTGTCGACCCGGGACCGAGCACTTGGATGAGCTTTTCCTGGCCGGTGTGCTAGGTTCAGAGGTGGGTGATAATGATATCGTCGTCGATATCGTCCTTCTCGTCGTCCGTTTCCTCCATCTGATTCGCCTCTGCTTGGGCCGCTTTCGGATCCTCGGCGATCGCCTTCAGCCTTTTCTGCTTACGCCTGTGCAACAGCTCCACAATGATGTACCCGATGCTACCAATGATCAGCACGGTGAACATGACGTACAGCTTCATGCGGGCGCACAGATGGGTGCTGTACGCGTACGCTATCACGAAACCGGCGCTCTCCCATAGCCTGTAGTTCGAGAACGCGGCCTCCTTGTTACGCCTGAACAGCGTGCCGTACAAGCCTGTGAACAATCGAGCAATGAAAATCCATTAGTAATAATATTTAGGGCGGTAGATGGGCCAATTATTACCACCTTAAGATTGTAGCGTAACTTCATATAATCATTTTACGTGTTGCTTAATTTAAAAACGTCACAGTTTGTAACATAGTATTATTTAACTTCTTTTTTGTTAAGCAGATAATAGTTTCATACATTAAATATAAAGAATTAATTCATAATTAATTAAAATCTCCGAGTAATCCCAATGTCCCTATGGCTGTCACCACAAAAATTAAACTAATTCTTATGTACTGTAAGAATTCATTTTGTACAATAAACGTAGGTTGAATAGTAAAATTGCATCTTCTTCATTACTATCATTTCGCCATCACTTCCTACTTACGTAGACGCGTTTTTAATACTCAAATTGCACTTTCATCTTTCAACATTAATTTCAAAAATACCAGGTATACACAAGTACATGTATTTATTTGTTTTTATGTAAATCAAAGTCCCAATTCAATAATGACATTTTTTTGTACTCAATTGTTTATACGTTACGCTGTTATTAAATGAAATAAATAAAGTGACAGTATTAGGAACACTGGCAGTAATTGATTTTTTAATTGACCTCCGCGTTTTCAGTTGAGAAATGCAAGTATTCCGTCCAAAAATAAATTTCAAAAAAGGAGAGAATGAAAACAATTTGGTCTGTTTAATACTGATGTTTTCGACCTCAAAATAAAAAGATACAGTATATAACATCCGTCTCATAATTTTTAAAGAACGATTTCAGGGTTTGGGCGTTAATAAAACAAAAAATGTTATATGTAGAAACCGAGTCCATTTCCGGGTGAACTTATGTGTTGTACAATATGACGTATCTACCTTTGGTTTATTTCGTTCCTTATGCTTTTACTTTTTTGGCTATAAATCTTAACCAGCTTATCACCGCTTTATTTGTCCTACCTTCTACTATTTCCTCCTCTCTTAAAACGCTAGTATATATCCTATGATAGTCTTTTAATAAATGTTTTAACGTGCCTATTTTTAAATTACATAGAAAGCATTTTCTTTTTTCCTGAAAACGTGTTGGTATATTAAGGCTTTTGCCGTTTTATATTGGGGCGTGACGAAAATGAAATAGCGTAAGCCTAGTAAGAAACCTAGCAAGAAGCCCGTAAGAAGGAATCGAAAGCCAGGAAAATCGGAAGAAACGAAGTGCTAAGTAATTGAAAAAATAGTAGACCGTTAAGTGAATGAGTGACTAATGTTGAAATAGCAATTAGAAGACAATTTGGGCGTGAAGTGTGATGTATTAATACTCGAACGATAATTCGACAGCAAATAGAGATGAACTTCTAAGAAGAGTCTATGTATGTGCTTCTATGGTGTTAATTGTTCACGTTACATTTTTCATTCATACTTTATTTCTAATGAACGATTCATTACGAGGTTATTAACAACCCATCGCGAATAAACTCGGTTCAATGGAGAACGAAAGCGAAAGAAATTTCATATTGTTCATCAATAATGTAAAATCCATGAAGGAAGATTCCTAAAAATACACAATTCGATAACAAATTGCTTTACAACGCTTGTGTGTTTATGCCCTCGATACGCGACTAATCGTCCCTGAAACCAACGCCATCTATTCTGTTTATGTGGAACGTAAAACAGAGACAACTTTGGTCTGCTGTATCATTTCGCAATAAGATCATACCACAGACAAGGTATGTACATATAGGAGTAAACGTTTCATCTTATGGGACTTAGTGGCCCACCTAAACTGTAGTACCGACACCTTAAAAAGCCTATGATTTTAGCGACCTCTACGTTTTGAAAACGGTGAATCTGCGGTGGGTAGTGACACTAAATAATGATTTTAGCGTCCTCTACGTTTTGAGAATGGTGAATCTGCGGTGGGTAGTGACACTAAATAATGATTTTAGCGACCTCTACGTTTTGAGAACGGTGAATCTGCGGTGGGTAGTAACACTAAAATGGAAATGGGGTACGTAACCTCAGAAAAGTGGGCCGCAAAAATACATTGGATGAAATGTCTACTCCTGTACTTCGTCCGTGATTATACGAAAATAAGTTATCCAACGAGTACATGAATTATCATCGTTGTTAAAAACCGACACACTCACGCTGTATTTTCGTTTCGATAAATGTTCTAGACGCAGGACGAAAATAAAAGAAAAATTGGCGGCCGGTTTGATAAGAGATATAGTGTTCAAGGGCCTCTAGTATACGTACCATTAACTTGCGTCTGCCACACTGCGTCGCCGACTCCCCACAGTCCAGAAACAGTGAAGAACACGTAGGGGTTCGCGGGGTGCGGCTTCCAGTGGAGTAGCACGACGATAAGACTAGCATGGACGATGGCGCCCAGCGCCATCAACGGCTGTCTGCCGACGAACTTCATTAGGGAGCCGAAGACCAGCGAGCAGACCGCGTTCACCACACCGAAGCAGATCATTACGTAGCCGACACGGTGCACGCCCAACGCACAGGAAATGTAAGCCTGGAAATCGAAAAAGAAACGAAACGAACGTATTAAATTGTAACGACGCGTCCACGATAATATTCCACCCAGGCGGTTGAACAAGCCTACGTGTGTTTCTAAGGCGTCGACAAAGACGATCAGGTAGCATCTTCTCTTCGATGCAGCAATATATACAGGGTGATTCTTAAATGCATGTCAATACTTCAGGGGATAAATGGAGATACTAATATAAATAAAAAACGTTATATGAACATACGTTCTATACGGCCTCACGTTCCAGGAGGGCCCCATTCTGAACCTTCAATTTCGTTATGATTGAATGGTATTTAATTTTATTTAAAATACATTTCAATTCTTGAATATTTAAAATTTGAAGTATTTTGGTGTGCTGTATTACCAAAAATCCCTCCCGCTTTTCAACCAAGGGGGTCCTTGCAGAATCTAATAACCCTGGGCCACAAAAAATCTTAATCCGGACCTGGTCCTATATGTATATCTTAGTTTTTGAGTTATGGATGATTAAAGAAACTGTTCGAAGTGTATCATCTCAACCCATTAGACTTTTACTTTTGGGGCTATTTGAAAACGATCTGCAAGAAAGATACGTTAACGAGACTCTGTTAACGAGATATTAACCAAGAATCCTGACCAATCGGAACACGAGTCTGCTGGTCGAGCTCTGATTGGTCGGGATTTCTCGTTGATATCTCGTGAACTAAACCTGGGATGACATTTTTCCTAAGGAAAAACTTGTTCCAAATCACCTCACGAGTGACCCTTTTCAAGGACCTGCAACACTTTTGTTACACCCTGTACACTATGTATATCCCATCAACACTTCATGGTATTTGCTTTAAGAAAAATACACGCATACGCACACGAGTGAACGTGTGTATGGGTAAAAAAAAAAGAATTTTTATCGAATATGTCCCCAGTTTATGCGCCAGCCCAGAGGCAGGGTTTTTATGACTTCAATAAAAGTAATTTATCTCAGCGTACAGGGTGTCCGTGAATAAAGATCGTCGCGATAAGGAAAATTCTGGTTTTGAGTTATACCAAGCTTTCGAGTCGTTGAAGGTTAATGCTAGGTGATATTATACGACGTGGGTATTAGGTTTATTTGACTAGTTTTACGGAGCAGATGGATTATTGCAGGATGTGTTTCCAGGTCGCTCGAGCGAGTCTAGACGAACTGTCTATAAGGTCTGTCGTAAAAGTGTTTGGTCGAGCGATGAGGATAACAGTTTCTTTCGAGATACAGTATATTTATTATATAATACGTATATCAATACAACACACTGTAATTTACATGTACACTACCGGCCAAAACAGAGATGGGTAAATTCATTATTTCGATAAAAAGCTTCGAATAACGAATAAAAGATAAAAAAAAGCATTTCGTCGTTTTCAATTGTTCAAACGTGGAAATTCCAATTTTTATAACAAAATAATACTTCTTCTGGAATGAATCGACATTTGGCAAACCATCGTTTAATTTCATTAAATGTTTAAAGCTCAGAATGGTGCCTTTAGATTCTGTTGATTTCCACTATGTATTATTCGAATAAAATACTGCCCAACTCTGGGCCAAAAGTATGGGACCATAGTTCATGATTGATGGAATAGTATTATTCTGTTACGATATAATAAAAGTTACGGAATAAGTACATATACAGATCATTTCCTATTAGATTTAACACATTACTTTTATTATACCTTTGTAGAATAATAGAATCAGACCTGATCCGATACTTTTGACCGGTAGTATATGTTGGATTTACTCTGAAATTAATTTTTCTTTATCCTTGTGGATTGTCCGAATACTTTCATCAGAATACTTCTGCTTGAATAGGATATATTTATGTTCTATTTATAGATATTAGTAATATATTATCACTAGACTGCGGATTTTTATGCAAAATAAAATTTTATAAAGTAATTCTTGAACACGAGAACAAAATTAGGAATTTCTATTTTCTCTTAAGTATGTCATTGAGTTAAGAATAAAATAAAAAAGTCGTTGGTTTCGATGAAAGTTTAGTCTTTTATTGTATTTCACAGAGCTTCATAGTCTATAAATGCATAAAATCTGCAGTCTAATTATCACGTATGATTGCTAGACTGCGGATTTTTATGTGAAATTACTAACAGTAAATAATAAATAGTTGCTTATCAAGACAAAAACAAAAGTAGAAATTTCTTTCTGCTCTTGAGTATCTTATTGGGTTCAAAAGATAATAGAAAACTCGTTACATCTGACAAAAGTTTTGTCCTTCATTGTATTTCACAGAACCGTATAGGCTATAAATGCATAAAATCCGCAGTCTAATTATGGGGTACTGAATAAAAATGACGACTAGATCAGCCAACCAAAAGCTATCCTAAAAAGAGATTCCGTGTGAGAACCAACGCGAAAGAAAAAAAAAATCGACGTTACATATCAGCGTGTAAACGAGCAAAACTTTTTTTTCCATCACGAAACCGAAGAAATCCTCGCTGTTGCAGAATCAAACGCGCGCAGGGATGCGTTCCCGATCCGTCTAATGCGCATTCATTCGGTGTGCGTGTCGCTTCGGCGTTCGACACCGAACCGATCCAGCGTAGAGCGAAAAAAAGGAACGGCGAAAAGAAGAAATACTGGTTCACGGGATTCCAGGTATGGAAGGTGGTATCTCGGGGGAATTGCTGCAAGAATAAGATTCTGGGCTATTTATAACATGTCGAAGCCAGCTGATTCAATGGTAAGGTAGCGTCTCGAGATCTAACCGATGCCTTCCAGTAGCCATTTATTTCTCCAATTACTTTGCTCCTTGGCCATCTTGTTGGTATCTACATGTATACATACCTGTACATATATTTCGTCATCGAACAGGTTTCGAACAAGTTTGCCTTCCGAACTGTATCATTCCTCTTTTTTTTTTCTTCTTCTATCTCTTTTTATCTTCTTCCACTTCTTCTCAAGCTCCCCCCTCGATACGCAACCGGCGGGTTCCGTGCATTATACAACTTATAATTTCATATCCATTCGTCGGTTTAAAAGGCAAAAGGAGGATGCTACGGTGCTTCAGCCGATATTTTAGCGTATCTGTGATCAGCCAGCATATGTATTTCCGGAGAACAATTGCCACGACCTCGGATGGCCGTTACGCATCATGAATCTGCCGTTCTGTATCCGGTTTCTATCCGGGTGATCCTAGTCGGAACGGTTTTTGTGCTTTATCCGACGAACGTGGATAAATCGTTAACGATTCCAGGATGCCAGGCGGTTTTTTCGATTTTATCGGGCACTTCTCGCTGGACGGTTTTTCGCGATCGAACAGACGTTTGGCGGCTTTTTGCTTTGTCGTGACTCAACGGGGAAACTGATTTGAAATTGTGATCCGAGTATAAAGACCTGATGTCATTCTGGAGGGATTATAGACTCTTTGTTTTTTTTTTTTTTTTTTGCGTGTCGCGGTTATGGTAGTCGTACATTCGAATGAACTGGAATTTCTAATTTTGGAACGACCTTTTAGCAGTGCTGGGACAGTTTTTAAATAGTTTATTATTAATAAAACTGGAGGATCTGGTAGTGTTTAGACGATCGTTTTGTCCGCAATTATGTTCGTTCTTCCTGTACAGGTGCTAGAAAAGATCGAGGAATGTCTAGATAAAGAATTAAATCGGAAATTGGTTCGTTTTGACTCACTTGATTCCTAGTTTCATTAACATTAGAACTATTGGTTATAAACGTGTATCTATTTCTATCGACTCGATGTGCATGACGAACTTTAGAAAATAAACAAATTTATTTTATTACATTCTTCTCTCTCAATTTCGATAAAATTTGTAAAGATCTCAGAAAATGTATTGTTATAACATTTTCATCGTCGTTATAAGAGTGTACTGATAAATCATTTTGATTGCTTTGTAGTTCTATTGTTAAACATCAAGTTAATCCGTTGTTTCGAGTGGTTGTTACAAGGTGTTTAAAAGATGTTTAAATTATTGTTAGATTAAATATAGATTACATAAATGCAATTTATTATTATGTTGGTCAATGAGTTTAAATAATTACTTAATTTTTATGACCACTGTCATTGAATACTGATTCTCGTTACTTTTTTAATTAGCGTGGTGGGTTAAACGGGATATATTGCTGCTCGATTCGACAATTTCAGAATAATGACTTTTAATTACTCACTTGTGTAAAGTCTGCCCCGATGAACGCTTGCTCCATGCCAATCCATACTGTGATCGGTATAAGAAGTTGCTGGTACGGTTTCTTCAGTTGATACGCAGTTGCAGATAGCAATTGTATACCACTGAGCTCTTGGCTGTCGGCTCGTCGTTGCTTCTCACCGTACCTGAAAGCAACAAGAGAAAAAAAATATTACTTAAAATTCCATGAAAACGATCTTGGTATATTTTCAAATTCCAGGGGTATTCCTATTTAATCGGACCTTCTGGATTATTTTTAACGTTTCAAATAACAAAATTCGCGTTAAGAAAAGGCTACAGAATTTGTATAAATTTATTTCACAGATTCATAAAATGATTGGTTGTCCCCCCAACCTTCAAAAAATGGTTTCTGTGCGTTTCACGATTAACACGTTAAAAATACAGTAATCGTATTATAATTTTCACAATCATCATTTTATTTTCAAGTAAAATACAAATAAATATAGAACAACAACCCCCTGCAACAGGTATGGTTGCCATTTTGATCGAACAGCAACTGGCGAATAAAAATAGTATTTAAGACATTTATCCTCAGAGTGAGATGAATTTACGTTAAAAATGAAACAAAGTGTCACGTAATAATTATAAATCTCACGTTTATTCACAATTTTTCGTCATCAAAAATCCCATTATTTAAATAGAAAGTTTATTCATCTTCATTCTGTAGTTGTAATTTCCTTTCCAATAAGAGCAACTGATAAGTGATGCGCAAGTTTATATTTTAAAACAGAAAATCCATAACTTGGCATTCCAGTGACATCAGGAAATGGTTATGTTATAGAAATCCTGGAAAATATCGCCTTCGTGAACGTTTCCGGATGTCTTGGATCAGTAACCGTGGGGTATTAAAGATGAGTTCAGCTAGTAATAATATCGGACACAGTGGACGTAATTTAGTTACGTTGTAAGTTCAATTTTGTGAAGTGAAGCCTCTCAAAATTAAACCACGGGACGACGTTACGGTACACTGGTATTACAGAAACGCCATCAACGTAATTATCTTGCATTTAAACCTGCAATTAGAGTAAACCCACTACTCACAGTCAATCATTTTCTACGAAAGAACGCGTAATTTACAGGCTGCTTTCGCGGGTCTTTTAGCTGGTCCGTTTGGAACTGTTTCCTTGGAATAAATTGTTCGAGACGTTAAAAGTGAAGCTACTGGAAAATGAAGATACATTAGACGTCGTATTTCCTTTTTCCGTCTTAAATCTTTGAGATACTTGAGTATGATTTATTTGGACTTAATGTCACTTTTATTGTATCCAATCCGGAATAATTTGATTTTGTCCATAGCGTCTCAATGAATTTTACGCAAAGTATCGATTTGGTATAAAAATAAAAGAGTCATCAAATAATTTTCTGCTTGAAAATATGTACTAAAATCTTACGAATTATAAAATGGAACACCACAGAAACCGTTATTTTACTCGAATGTAACCGTTCGCCAGCGCCATTTTGTTCGGACAACCGATCGTCATACACCACGTTGGGTTTCCAATATTCTATTTAGTAGATTTATAATACCTTCTGTTGATAAAATGCAAATAAATATTTTCTGGTTAGTATTTCTTCGAGTAGAGAATTATTATATTTTAATTTTGTTAAAAGTATTCCGATTAAGTAGAAACATAGTCGGCCATATTGAAATGATTTGAAGGGTATAGGTTAACTGGCACAGAGACGTCTCATTTAGCATGATTTTTCATATTTTTCAAATTTCTTTTTAGTTTAAACCACGTTTAAATTATAAAGTATCAACGTTTGAATAGTTATTTCGTGACTTTTAACCTCTTAAGGGATACTGGCACCGTATGTGTACGTTTAGTTCATTCTTTCATTCAAGCATCAAAGGAAAATTATAATTAAATATTCACTAAGAAATTCCCCAATAAAACAGAGTACCCTACTAACTGATTGTTAATAATATTTATAAATATATTTTAATTAAATACACCTGAAAAAAAATGATTTCTTCTAGTATTAATAAATTCTTCCCTGAAGAGGTTAACGCTTTAATGCTGTTTGACAAGTATGGAACAAGAAAACGGCCACTTTCTGGGTAATGTATACTCGTCAAATGTAAAAATAAAGTACCTTCCGCTATAAAAATTTCCGTAAAAATTGCAAAATATATTTGCCACCAATAGAACAAATAAATCAAACGGATACACATTTTCAAAAGAAAATTCCACCGTTGAAGGGTGAACAGGTTTCACTGTTTAAATTCTCAGCCACAGTTCAGAAACACCCAGTATACCAGTATTACCGATCCTGCCCGGTCCATTCGAACGGAGCTTCACCCTCGCGAGGTCGTTCCTCGTCTTACCATCTCGCGGATGGATCAGCGCGTAGCGACGGTTCTACTCCGGTGTTTCATAAAGCCACCTCCTCGCCGTTCATTATACCCATCGAGAAACCGGTTGTTCCACTGTCTTTTTTTTTTTTTTTTCATTTTCTACAACGCTTTGTCATTCCTTTTTTCATCATTTCCTTCGTTTCGTTTTTTTCCCCGGGTGAATCGACCGAAAATTTCGAGTTTCAGGTGAAAAGACAACCAACCTGCAAAACCATTGATCCCCCGTGACACGCGAGAGGGTCAATAATATCGGCGAAAGATCGCGGAAGTCCCTTGGGCGAGGAGCAGCCGCGTGGGTCCGGCCGAGTAAACCGAGAAGAGACTCGTAAAAGAGCCGTTCCGCAGAATCCGGTAAATTATCCCAGCGCTAAATTTAGCCACGGCTGAGAGCACTTGTGCCGCGCGTATACACGATCCTCCACCCGGAGGGCCTGAAGGATCAGGTCGTGGCCGATGTGTGTGAGCGTGTAGAGGTAGCCGGCCGGGAGACCCGAGACAAGGTTTTAGATTCCACGGGGGAAAGGCCCCCGCGGGCAGCCGGCAGTGAACTCGCAAAATATAAATCTTAATGGCGGTGTTAAACGGCGATGCCCCTTCTCCCGATCCCCTGACAGCATTCCACCGTATACACGTTCATTGTTTGAGCTTCCGAGGATGGAAGGGCGGCCACCTCCTAATGCCTTTTGCCTTCTGGGACTCGAGACGCACATGACGGTCATAAACACTTGATATTTTAGCGAACCTGGTGGTTAAAGGCTGTTTGTTTTTAGGAGAATTTTCCGTTGGTACCGTTTTTGAAACACTTTTAATACCCGGTATACGTTACTTCTAGACAATCCTATTTTCAAGAGTTTTGTCGTGGAAATGCAGATGAGGTACATGTATTGGGACCATTTTTGAGTTAACCTCCTCAGGGATGAATTTATTAAGACGAGAAAGAATATTTTATTTTAGAAGAATTTTCCGTCGATTTTTTTTAAATACTTTTAATGTCCAGTATACGTTACATCTAGAAAATTTTATTTTCAGGGGTCTTGTTGTGGAAATGCAGATGAAGTGCACGTATTGGGACCATTTTTGAGTGATTTCAAGGACGAATTTTTTTTTTATTCTTTGGCTGTATTTAATTTGAATATATTAACCATCGATAGGGAGAATATTCTTTTTTGTTGGGAAATTTTGTAAATAATACTTAATTAGTTTTGGACTGATGCTTGAATGAAAGAAAAAGTAACCGTACACATATCCTAGATAGCACATGACGCCTTGGAAACGTACATTTTACATTTATTTTAGTTCTAAGGTGCTTTTAAACTGTTTTCAAGGCGTCATTGAAAAAGTTAACTAATTGCGGGAACTAATTTTTTCCCTAAAAGTTGTATTTAGGCGTTGAAGGGTTAAAACAAATTTATATAAAATTTTTAAAATAGGTTGATTTAATATCGATATTTTCGGCTTCAAAATAACAAGATAATATCAATCTCATAATTTTGAAATTACAATACAAGTGTCTGGGCGTTAAAGGGTAAATGTTATTCTTATTTATTCGATGTGCGTTATGGTTACGAATTATTAAATGTTTTGATCTGTACGTTACGTGATGGTAGACTGTAACGCTCGCCGTCGCCATTTTGTTTGGTAAACCGATCGTCTTTAGGCCATGGTGGGTTCTCATTGTTCTGTTCAGTAACAAAATATGAAATAAAATGTTTTCATTTAAGGCTTAGTTTTCGAGAAAATCGACTTTGAAAATTAATCTGAAAGACGTGTATTCACCAAAGTAGTAAGTAGAAACGGAATGCAATGAACAGACGCGCTAGCCCAGTCCTATTCAATTGCTGTCCGTATCAAGTAGATTTTCAAAGTCGATTTCCTCGAAAACTACGCCTCAAATGAAAAAATTTTTTTGAATTTTTTGTTCTTATTTTTTCATAAGCAAACACCTCGTACCCGCTTGTACATGTTACTCGGCCGCACTGTGTATACGTATAGTACAAATACATGTGTAAGTTTATTTCTCATTTCTGTGAACCAACCACTTTATTAAACCTCAATTAATTACAGACCACTCGTCTCGGAGATGAGTCTGAATTTTTATTTCATTATCACAACCTAGTGGAGAATTTTAGTAGCTCTAGGCGTTTCAGAACCTTCAATTTAGTGGCACACTATCTTCATAACGGTAACGAAAAATAACATTCAGTTGTTTATTAAAAGTATTATAAAGTAGTCGTCGTCGGATCATTCATCTCTGACGACGAGTCGTCTGTAATGGATGGTTAAAATTGTAAAACTGCATAAACCTGTGTAAGCATTCTTCTCTCTTAATTTCAGTAATTAAATCATTCTAGTATCTCTGTTTGCTTCCTGCAATTGACTACTGTAATATCCCAGTTACAAATTCTTGAACACTGTACGTCCAAACTCGGCTTCCGTTAGGGGAAAAAGTGGCGAAGGGGAAGTGCCTCCTACCACTTCGTATCGTGAATTACTAAAAATTTTTTTTTTTAAATTGGTAGGTCCATTTTTCTTCCATTAAAATATTTAAGGGTTTGCGTTTGAATCAATTACAAAATATTGGCAAACATTAATAAATTCGGGTCATATTTTTAAAACTAGAAATTTATTAAATTTTATTATGTAAGAATAATTAATAAAATTGTTACAGGAAATAAACGTTATAAATTTGTTTCGGTACTTGAAATGAATTTACCAAGTGGTAACAGGCCCTTCTCTTACGCCACTGTTTCCCCTAGCGGAAGCCGA